TCTCCTGGTTCCTGCCAGGCCTGACTAACATCTCCTTTCAGGCTCCACTCCCCCAAGCACCTGGGTGGTTGGGTACAGAGTAGGGCAGCATGGAGGTCAACTCCTCTCCTGCGACCAGCCATGTAAGGCAACACTATGAAAACAAAGGAAAAGAACCAGCGTGTCTTTTTGTTCAACTCGAAAGTTAAAAGTACTACCCTTCCAAACTTCCAACCTGAGGTCACTTGCTCTGCTCCCCTTTCCCGGCAGCTGGGGCTTCCGCACTTTAAACTTTGGCCACAAGGACATTCTCCTGTGCTTTCATAAGGCCACAGGCAAACGGACACCAATGAGGCGTGAACTAGGCGATGACATGGTGATGATGGCACCGGTCTGGGTAGGAGCACTGACAGGGCATGACAAGCAGGTTCGTCTACAGCTATTCTTACGGGTCCTCCGGGAACAAGCGAGACTGAACACAGAGGCAGAATGGGTTGCAGGAAACCCTGGGCTGAATCCTGCCCATGTGGTCAAAGATTTATATCCAACATAAGTCAGTATAAAATGGGCAGGGTGACCAGATGCGAAAACCACAGCAACTGGTATTAGAAATAAATAAAATCTCTCTAACCAGATCATTGACATGAACTTGTTGTTATATTTCACCAACATAAAACATCACCTAATATTATTTTTATCCTGGCTGAGTACAATACAGAGAGTCCATCTAGTGGGATTTCTGATTATAAACCCAATAGAGGGTGCAGTTGGTTTTCAAAGGCTACTCATGTTTGGCAAAAACAAAGAGCTGCCTGTTTGTGAAGCCAGTTGTACACCAGGTCAGGTACGCCAGTCAGACCTACAGAGCATTCCTCTGACACACAGGCTAAAACACCCTGATCTAGAAGTTATATAAATGATATTGTCACATTAGAAAATAGCTGAATTGCTGCCTTAAGTAGCAACATGTATTTTGCCCATCAGGTTATCTGCCTAGGACCTTTCACCCAAGAACAGGCTGTAGTAACCTTGGGGACATTCTGCTTCAGCTGCACAAGCCGTCCAATGCCCACCTCCTAAAGGTGACTAAGTTCAGAATCTTGTGTGGTCACAGAGTGTCCTGTGTCTCTCTGTCATTGAAGTCCAAGGCCAGCATAACGCTGCTCAGGAAAGGATGTTTTGCTTTTGCGTTAGTCACAGGGAGCGGCTGTATTCGGAAACCCGTGACCCCATACTGCCCAGTGGGGAGTGATGACTCGGATGATTTACCCAGTTGGTCCGCCTGCTGAGAGCTGTACTCCCAAGGTCAATCCCACACACAGAGGTTAACGTTAAACGATGATTCAGCTCTCCTGCAACAGTGCTTTTGTATTTGTTTTTCCATCACTTGTGGAGGCCACAATGATGACAATGAACTACCCCGATTCCTCCACTTTGGAATACAAAAGGAAAAGGCAGCTCTCAAGTATGTTCACCATGCAAGTACATTTAAATCAATTTACACATAGTTGCTGAGCTAATTTTAATGCATGCAACACAGTGGACAGAAAGCTGTGCTATAGCAATTTAGATTAAGTACTTCCAAGGATATACCCCTGCCACCATTGGGTTACCATATTTTTAACTAATACTCTGCTGATCTTACAAATCCAAAATGGTATACCCATAACTCCTTCCTTTTGAACCAAGTGTATTCTAAGCATTTTTTCCCAACTAGTGATATAGCCAATATCAGTACAAAGCACCATACACCTCCTCTCAGTGACAACTAATGCTGGAAACACGAATAGCCATACCGTCTCTGTATCAACCTCCAGTGAAACGCCGATGACTCAAAGAACGCACTGAAATTAGCTGTAGCCAAAAATATGTCTGATTTATAAATCTGAATAATGCAAACAATACTAACCATAATTACATGTAAAGCAAACAAACTCAGACAGCAAACAGCTATAAAATACTTAATGACTTTACACATAACAAGCAAATAAAAGCTAAACAGCTTTGTGCTGAAAAGAGGGTTCCCCCTCTGTCAACGATGTGGGAGGCCACGCTCGCTAGACATTACAATCGCGCCAGGCAGACCAGACAAGACGCCCTCCGTGGGGCTCTTCCTGGAGGTCAAATGCTCTACCATGTAAATTAATGAAGCAGCATTTTTTTTTTTTTTACTTTACTGTTGGAGCCTTGCTGTGTTGCATACATAAAGGAGTTTCACACGTCTCCTCAGTACTAATGAGCGTAGCCGACCAAGAAATACCCATTCGCGCCTCAGTGCATTCTCACTTTCGATCTTCCTGCAGTTGAACATTTGTCTCATTTGATCAACAAAGCCACACTGACCCTCCTCAAATGCCTTATAATGGTCTAAAGGTAAGTTTAAAAAATACTGAGGGAAAAATAGCAGAAAAAACTCATCTGTATACTCACACATATTGCCTACACTGTGTTCTGTTTTAATCACCCCCTTAACATTTAAAGTAATAACAACAACATAACAAATTTGTTTATTATGTAGCTCTGCAATATCTACTTAAATGCATTATATTAATAAAATATAACTTCATCAGTACCCTCAGGTGGATAAGTGGGAAAACGAAGGATGAGTGGATGCAAGGTCATCAATACCATTTCAACAAGAAATATTCAAGGAGGCTTTTTGGAACAAGTTAAAATGTATTGAGATATTCCATAGGGAAGGAGGTATGGCATCTATCTGGGAGACTAACAGAGCATCACAAAACACTGATAATGTAGACCCCCCCCCTCAACATTCAACCCTTTCATAATTTTAAGACGATCCAAGTACACCCCAGTGGTGAAGACTAATCCGCCTTCGAAGAAGCAAGGCATGGACTAGCACAAAACACGAGAATACACAGCAACAAGTGCATATAGAAAATGCCCACCCACTAAACCCCACACACAGCAACAAGTGCATATAGAAAATGCCCACCCCTAAACCCAACACACAGCAACAAGTGCATATAGAAAATGCCCACCCACTAAACCCCACACACAGCAACAAGTGCATATAGAAAATGCCCACCCCTAAACCCAACACACAGCAACAAGTGCGCATAGAAAATGCCCACCCACTAAACCCAACACACAGCCCACCACAGGTTCCCCACGCAGCCTTGCCGGCAGGGTGTCCGCCGCCGCTTCACTGTTATTAGGCTGCGCAAGCGAAAGCTCCAGCGGGGACAGACAAGCCATGGTGGAGGGTGTTCGCGGCTCGGTGAGGCACACAAACGACTCCTCTCAGTGTATATTCTCACAAGGCACTTTTCAGAGCAAAAACTTGGAAAACAACATTCAGATGATATACCTGTGACCAGTCTGAGCAGCTCCCGCTAACTCTGCTGAGCCCTTAGCCACCAGCCTGTCAAAGCCATCGATACATCTAAAATCTGTCAGTGATTAGTGTCAGAAATACTAATGGGATCAAACTGTTACAACTACAGGCAATGTGCAATTACGCTGCAAAAGCTGCTCAGTATAACATAAATATTTATTGGTGTTCAATGCACAGTTCAATTATACATTAAAATATTACTATTATCACATTGCTTCTGTAACTAATCAAAATGCAAATTATCATTCAGAACTATGATAAGGAGGATGAGCTTTACACTGTAATTTAATTAAAAACGACGATGATAAAAATGCACGATTTCCATGTAGTAATTAATTAATCAATGAAACAGTGAAATATTACAGAACTGCTGTGCGTCTTTCCTCATAATGCTAATTTGCAAATTGCAAACTGTGGCAACTGCAATGCCAACAACATTCATTTAAAATCGGTTACAGGCAGCCAGGAAGAGACACACACAGTAGTACATATACATACGTATACAGTCCTATCACCCAGAACCAGAGAATACGAGTATGTGTAGGGGAGAGGAGATCAAGAAACCTCGATATGTGCACAATACAAGTTATACAAAAGAAGCGAAAAGAAAACTTGTGCTGCTGATGGATCCGGCCCACTGAAGGGACACCGGCAAGCCGAAGTAACTTTCCCTCCGAGCAGCGACAGTCCGATGGCTCTTGCTTTAGGTTGACATTTTGCATTTCGTTTAGGTTTACATTTTGCTTGCATATTATTCAGCTGGACCACAAAATAACCGCGCGCAGTCACTCGGCAGGACACCCACACATCGAAATACATTTGTTCCGTTTCTTAAAGTGACTGGATAATACCAAAGTTTCCAATCCCAATATCAACAAAAACATGTGCTACCTTTGCAGCACTGCTAACGAAGAATTGATTGCTGGATGGCAACTATACTAAAATGTTTAATACGAAAAGCACACTATCTATCTGTATATACGATGTGCATGTACGCCTGTGTGTATTAATCTACCGACTCCGTGAACCTTTCATTCTTAACCGCATAACGTTCAATTAAGGTCAGATAACTGAACTGCTCGTGGATGAGCAAAACATTATCTTTAGAAGATGATTCACCTTTGCATAATAACAGGGAAAAGTTCAAGCTCTCATCGAGACGCTCCTTCCTTTTAAACACAAATTAGCAATAACTTCCAAATACCTTAACTATGACATTGTTCTGTTAAATCTCCAGTTATTAAATGTAGCTCCGGGCGTTTGACTATCTGACGGCTCCTTAGCCAGTCGATACTGACCTATCCGACAGCTATCTGGCTAACTATAGCTACCTCTAAATAATATCAGTTACAGTTTAGCTACAAAACAATTCAGCCTCAGTTCATTTGCAAACCTACAATAGCACAGGGCGCGTCGTCTCTTTTTGATCATTATTACAATATCCGCTCGGCTTCGGCACATATCTGGTCAAGTTAGCCGTTTCTATGTGCCTATCTTCCCCCACTACTGACAACTGACAATAACAAGTTTGTAAGGCAGCCCAGCGGCACACGGCTGCCGTTATGCTACCAGCACCTCGTCCGTCCACCGCAGTTACGCCTCTGCCCGCCTCGCCACTCGCGCACGTTCTTAATAGCGAATTAGCGCCATAAATAAAACTTACTTTTCTCTGGCTTGGCTGTCGGACGGTACGTTGTTACTCTTGCCTTTGGCGTACATGCTTGCAGAGAGCTCCGACTGTCACGCACCTGTCAACCCATCACAGCCTCCCCGGGCACAACCCCGTCACCATGGCGACAGAAGGAGCGTCGCCTCCCATTGGACGTCCCGCCGTTAGGAGACGCCCATCCTCTGTGGTAACCGCCATGATTGACGGCTAGTTCGCACCGCCCATTCAAGCAGCAACCCCCGCCTCCCCTCCCGCAGCACTAACCCCTCCTTCTCCTTTCCTTCTATCTTTTTCATTCTGGCTGCCTGTGCTGAGCCAGCTAGGAAAGCGCGCCGCCTGCGATCTCTCTCCTAAAAACACACACACACACATACACACACACACACACCCTCCTTTTCTCCTGTCGCTCGCCTCCTCCCCCAGCGCGAAGGGGAATTTGAAACCGTCAGAAGGATTTTAAACAACTGGCTGTTCCTCTCATAGACAATCACACCCTCCACTGACACACAGACAGCGCTGCGAGCTAGCAAAGTTGGAGTGGATTTATGTGTGCATAATGATGTTGAACTTCAAAAGACTCAGGGAAACAGTACAAGCTTAAATATATATTTTAGTCATAATTTTTGTAAGTGGACTACTTAATGATAACTGGCGATAATTACTGCCCGCAAAATGTTGGTAAAGGATCGGCAAGCCTTGTTTTAGAAAGATTCAGTGGTGGAAGTAGGGTTTGGCAGTTTTTTCATTGATCTGCAGGCCAAGCGATAGCAACAAAGCAAGGCAGTGGTGGTCTCTCCAGATGTAGGCTACAGAACTTCAGAAGGCAATGGAATCAGGATTGCACCATTTCTAGCATCACTACAAAATTCCATGGTTCAAATCACATCAGGAGAAAGATGCTCTCAGTAAATTACCATGCAAAACTCTTAAATGACAAACTCTCAAATAGAAAACCATGCATGTGTCATTTAGTCGGGATTAATTGCCTGAAACAACAAAGAATGGCAACATACAACAATTTCATGTACCTTGATAATTTAAAATATCTTGTGACATTTAGCTTCATATCTGTTTTAATGGGAAACAATCATGCTGTTGTTTTATTTTTGAAGAAGACACTGGAAGGATGCTTTTAATATGAGTGTTCTGGGTGTGGAGTGCTAATCATTGTACAGTATTTAAATTTATGGGTCAAAACCATTTAAACTGTCTATAATTAGTATAGTGAGGAAGTCAGGGGAAACCCTGACCAGGACTATAGTTTATCCATACACTATTAGCTATTAAGTACAACACAGAGCTGCCAATTAAACAGAATGACATGACTTTGGAGGAAACTGTAGGACACAGAAGAGAGATGTAAACACAGGAAGACCACACAAACTCCCAAGAGCAGATTTCAGACCATAATCCTTGTGCCATGAGGGGATGATGCTTAAATGTTGTTTTTCTTTATCCTTGGTTATTCATTCTTTGATATGTAGTCAAGATCATGAGACGTTTTGAGTCTTGTAGTCTGTCTTTTTCAAATCATTTCCCACCCACAATTATATTCAGCTGTTGGTCTTTGGTGCTTGTCAGCACCATGATGCCATTTTATATTCATTTGCCATGTTACATTAGCTGTCTAACTCTATATTGTTATATGTATCTATAAAACCATCTTATAACCACTTATCCAGGTCAGAATTGCAGGGGGGTGTGGATCCTATTCCAGGCAGTATGCTCTGCATGGGATATGTCTTGTTGCATATTATTTTAAATTAATATAGTGTAAGTGCTTTTCTTTTTAATAAGGTTTCATACAACTCACTTTGATAAAAAAAAAATTAAACAACCAAGCACACAAATGTTGCTATGTATTAATGTCATGAACTGAGTAGGACTATGGTCTCTCACCTGTAGGATTGTGGATTCAGTTCCAATCTCTTGTGTGTTTCAGGAGTTTTCATATTGTCACTGTGTCCATGTGGCGTTTCTGGGGGTGCTCTCTTCTCATCTTACCGTCCAAAGCAGGGATCTTAAAATCTGGACCTCGAATCCAAATCCAGGCCTTGTTTTCAGTTCTCCCAGGTAGTTGGTTTAATAATTACTGATTTTGATTGGCCACAGAAGCTTCTCACCTGGCTGACAGGTAAAGGAAGGCTGGAAAATCAGCAGGACTCGGACCTTGAGGACCGTGATTTCAATAGCCCTGGTCCAAAGAATACAACTAGGAGAACTGGTGTTTCTAAGATTCACATAGCTTGTGCCCTGTGATGGACTGCCACTCTATCCAGAGAGTCTCATGCCCCCTTGATTCTTAGGATAGATGCCAGACTCACCTTAACCCTGCACTAGATAGGCACTCATAAAACTGGATGGATGGACGTTTTAATCATGACTATAGACAGTGTCGGTGAAAGCCAATGTGGTGCCCTAGGCAAGGTTGCCGGGGGAGGGGGGTGGAGATAGTTATTCTATGTTGCCGCCTCCTCAGAGGAAGGGTTGACTGGCTCTGACTACTGAGCAATCATGTAAATATTTATATAGCTGGCAACATACAAAAGTGAAACGGGCCCTTTTTTTTAGTGTTCTAAAATGCATGTCTTTTATATCAATGTGACATACTGCTGAAAACTGAGATTTAAAAGCAGGAGGCAAATGACGATTTCAGTCTGACATGCAGGTAAATACCTAACAGGTATATGAATATAGCTGAGGTCGAGTGCTATAATCAGCAACTAAAATGAATGTACAATATTCTTCTAATAATTTACGTAAGGACCTTTTACATCAAAGGATTACATCAAAAAGGTCCATTTCTAAAGAATTGATTTGTTGTTGATGATGATCATGAGAAACATTACAAGGACTTTTGAATGCTGTTCATGAAATAATTCGTTGGCATTGTTGTGGCTTATATTACTTTGCAAATAATTCTCCGTAAGGTTTCTAACTGCACAGCCTGCGAAATTCAGTGATAAATAATGGCAAAACCGTCGATCAAGGTGATTTCCGTCATGTGTTCCTGGGGCACAAAGTGTAGCAGTGATGTTATGCTTATATAACCTTTTAAAAACTGACCTACTTGCAGAAGAAGCACACAGAACAGAGTGATCGACTCTCCCCTGGTTTAAGGAAAGTTATCTCGTGGGACTAGACATTGTTCTATTTTAATTCTGGGGAGTTTCAGTTTTGGAATGAGACCCCAAGGACCCAGTAACCATCACAATTACTCTTTTTCAATGTGGTGTTGCATGTGCTGGACATTGTGTGGGGGCACAGTCCATGCAGTCCTCATTATAAACTCCCTTAACGTTATAGCAGGGCTGAATACTGTGGTCGGTCTCAACTTTTTTTAAACACCTGAAAATCAGGTAAAATGTCAATGGAATTTGGTACAGTGCACATATGAAGTGTTTAGAACTGTAAATATGTCACAGTAGTCCCTGGAGCCTTATGCATTCTGCATCGGGCAGATTTCTCAGGCTTCCCAGTTAAAACCATCCTCAGGATGACGGTTGACAATTAGGCTGGAGGGAAGCAACCAAACATAGAGAAAGACTGTGGTTCTGTCACTCTGCCAGTTGGTGCCACATCCCTGTAACTGCACAGCTCCTGGGTTGTGGGTTCAAATTCACCCTCAGCTCAAACTCCACTCAGTGTGAATGTTTTCTCTGGCAGCACAAAGACACCGTCTCAGAAAGTTTGTGACTCTAGTTTGCATTAGTGTGTGAGTACTCAGAGATAATGGGCTCCTTCCCAAATCGTATTCTACCTTGCAATCTTTTCTGTATAGCAATAATCTTAATTATAGAGTAATATGCCATTGTAATAATATATGCAAGGCCACATACAGGGGTATGAGTATAGCCCCCCCCCCCCCCCCGTGCTTGAGACATTCCAAAGTCAATAGCTTGGTGTGTGAAGCAGCCCTTCCTGTGATTGTGTTTGTCAATCAGACAAGAGCTCTGGGAATACACCCAAAAATATTTCTTGTTTTCTTCACTTATTTAATGTCCTGAAAAAGCCCACTTCCCAACTATGACGCTGTTGTAGAAAAGGGGATATCATCTAGGAATTAAGCGTATCAGGGAGGGATTCCCGCTGTCCAACTATAATCACGATTATTGTAAACATAAACACCTTATCTGAATAGCCCATCAACAATGGGTTAACAAACACAATACTTTGTAATTTATAATGTACACTAAAGTGGGATTAACGTAATGTATCACTCAGCTATTCTCTATTGGAATATAATTCTGAACAAGATATAATATATTTTTTTCTAAAATACATTTTATTCTTAAATCTGTTTGATTTACATTCCCTCAGTTTCAGAATGTACATTCTGGAAAAGGATGGCAGAGGATCACTTGTTATCCTGAGACCACTAGGGACTTTTAGACAGATCTGGTTATTTTCCTCCATCTTGAACGAGGCAGCTGCAATCAGTCAGGGCTGACGTCCTCTCATAGTGTGGGGTTAATGTAATCCCCAGTGTAACTGTCGCTCTCTCTGCCAAACCGTGGCATGTCTTCATTGATCAAACTGGGGCAAACATGCACAGTTACATCCATCTCATTTGCGAAATGACACACACACTTCTGTGTGACACATCTCCATAGTTCACACAGGGCCTAGAGCCAGGAGGTATGTACATTTACATTAGCATCTTATTCACCAAGCTGCAGCTCTAATTCAGGGTGACACACCTAGCAAGTATGGAAACAAGTACGGCAGTACATTCATAGGCTAGAATGGATGGGTCGACAAGTGTTGATGTCCAAGAACATTCAGGTCTGGAATGTCTGTGAGATAAGACTTAATCACTGACACTGCACTATATGAGTCCTCAAAGCTAAAAATTTACGAAATCTGTTTCATTTAAATGATTAAAATAAATTAATATTTAACAGGGACAGTGCCTTTACTCTTTGTATTACATTTTCTCATTGTTATAGACTTGGTGTACTGGTGTTGCTGTTGAGGTTAGCAAATAATCCAGTTTTGTAGCCCGTCTGTCCGTCCATCCGTCTGTCCATCCATCTTCTGCACCTGCTTGTCCTATTCAGGCTCGTGGGGGTGCAGACACATCTCGGGAGCGATGGGCACAAGTCAGGACAAGTTTTGTAGTAATATAACTAAGCATATTAAT